CCTTATCAAACACATTGCACCTCATAACAAAGGCTTTGTTACTATCGATTATTTCTTCTGACATACCTCTGATGCATGATTTATTCAGGACTATCCACTCAGTAATTTCTTTCCTTATTCTCTCGGTAAACTCATCACTCACCACCGTACGCTCAGCACCAGTGTCAATTAACCCGTCGATACTCAGCCCAGCTATCTTAGCCACAATAATCGGTAATCCACGTTCATTCAATCGTATACAATTGGTCAGCCTCAAGGTTGTTAAACGGTCATTCGTCTGACCTACCAAATGGCAGTGTATTAGTTTAAATTCCCATTTCTATCACATTGATTGGCAATGTGACCAATTTTCCTGCAAGTGTAACATCTCCGGGACCCCCCCATCTCCTATTAGGGGTTTTTTTGGGGATCTTTATTTGGTCTATCAGATTTGACATAGACTCATTTACCTTCTTTAGTTGTGTTTCCAATTCAGCAACCCGGTTACTTAATTCCTCTTCCTGTTTACTGGGTAGCCTAACCTCCTCTGAGTTAGCATATAATTCGCTAAACCCGGTTCTTTTATTGCCGGATGATTCCACCTCCTCTTCCTCTTCAGCCTTTCCTATAGCTTCTTCCAAAGTAATTGGTCTACTCTGCATAACCTCCCTCCTTAATTCTCCAACTAGTTCATTTATAAAACTCTCCTTTACCGTGTTATCGCACAACGTTTCCAATTTCTGGTTATAGGTCACAGCTCGGGAGAACAAAGTTTTTACCCTTACACCGTACTCATACACACTCTCCTCCTTACGCTGGACAATCTTTAATAATTGATTAAACGACTCACGTCTCTTGTCCTTTCGACCGAAACACTTAATAAGCCCTTTTTTTAATTTGTCATAACTCTTAACCCCTTGATCTCTTAGATCAAAAAGGATCGATAGAGGCTCACCCTTCAGACGAGCCTGAAGAACGGAAATTTTTAGTTTTACTCCAAGCTGCTAATGAGGAAATATTCTCCAGGGTTTCGAAAAATCTTCTCACGTCCAACGCGTCACTAGGTGAATTTGATAAGCATGGAATCATGCTCTTCCTAGACTTACTCCTTCTATTCAATATCCAGTATAATATCGTTGTCTGATTATCTTATGGTTGTAAATGTTGTAAACTGTAAATTCAGACATGATCCTCTATAGAGATGTACAATGTTTCTTGGTACTTCATCCTAATCTTCAGCTGTTCTTGCAATATTGTGATTAGAGGGTCGGTACCTCGTCAGGACTGACACCACTGTGTCTTTGGGATAGACAGAAACCGGAACTTTAGAATTTGCGCGAGCGATTACGTACGCGGGCGATCGGATTAGGGATGGAGGAGGGTTGAGAGACGGATCGGAAGTGATTCACTCGGATACGAGGTTAACAGCAAACATAACTAATTTAATGTAACGGAAATTGACTGATCGATCGATAGAAAGAATTTGCGTGACATCGCGTGTCGTTATAAATACCTGGTTCACTGGATATTCCAAATAGTCGTGGAGACACTGGGGAGATCGGGAAACGTTTTTGAGAATGTCTTTAGGATCTTGAACAGCGAATAAAGTCTATCGGAAGTTAAAATCCGTCGGTTCTTCGTAGGTGTTCCCGGAGAAACAGGATGTTCGGGAGGAGCGGCGGCGGGCGACAACGATAAATCTTTTCGGTTGGCACTCAGGAATACTTTATTGGACTCTCGACGACCTCTGTTCCCTGAATTATTTTTATTCTTTCAAGACACGTTATCCCTCTTCACCAATAGGGAATTTTTTGTTTTAGATCCCAGTGAAACATTCTAAGTTATCTGGGAAAGGAAACAACCCTGGGGAAGAGAAATGCACTCATCTTCCGGTACTAAAATGGGAAAAGATTTTTTTTCCTCTGAGATTTAATTAAGTAGAAAAAATAATGAAAAATGAATTTTCTCTCGAAATTCGTTAGGTCCGGTTCCTCACAATATTGACTAAAATTAATAGGAAAGTCGATTCAGTTAAACGAAATATTTATACAGTAGAAAAAACCTTAGTTCCTCTTTAAGAATACAATTCTGATAATGACGCCTGACGTTTGTTTTACGCCTGCTTATCAAGAGAAAAATGAAATTACTGATAAAAACGTTTTATTTATATTATAAAATCGACATTATCAAAATCGATAAGAGTTTGTATGGCATTCGAATATCACTGTGAGGTTAACGGTATCGAAATAATATATCATTTTCTGATGTATTGTATCGCAATATTTTTAATCTGCAAAAGAGTATAGTGACTTATCTAAAAATATCTCTGAAAATATCTGAATGATCAGACATATGATACAGATCCATTCGCGGTTTGTGTTTGTTTACTACACTTGTATATACGTATATATAGAGATCTTCGACCCTGACCGACAGTTTTTTGTACCTTTTTCTGTTTATTATTTCTATTGCTATCTAAACTAATTTTGTAAACGATGGTAGGACGTACGTTTCAAGATTTCCTTTTAAAAACGGTAATTCACATAACATAGTAATTTCCTATTAATTAATTATTAAATCCAAATTTAATAAAGAAAACATTGTTTTAAAATACAGTATTTGCAATAATAAGTATTGGTGTTTATTTTATAGATTGCTTAACCCACTTATGCAAGGTTATTAATTACTTTTTGTAAGTTTACGTGCTTTAACTCTTATAAAGAGTCCGTTTTAGACAGGATTTACAATAATTTCGTTTATATTACTTCATTTAAAACTAGTAGTTTCGAAATATTGCACATTTCGTTATCAAATTTAATTTAATTTTTGCTTTTTCGACTCTCTTATATCATTATATGATGGAGAGAAAGTATGGCAATCGTTCAATAAATGACTCCCAAACTCTTTTACACTTTTGGTCTCAAAGAACTTTAAAATGTCAAAAAATGTCTGTATAGATGTTAGTGCGTATATACGCGATTTTGTTCACTCTATTTGAAGCTGAATAACTCCTGTGATTTTTGTCGAAATTTTTTGAAATTTTGAAGGGAGGTTTGTGTATTAGGGAAATTCATGCTGTTACATTTTTGTGGTTAAAAGGTCGATGGGATGACGAGATAAAGGGGATCGTGTTTCATTGTTATCAACATATACGATTTATTTTTTTATAAAACTCATTTCTACCTTAAAAATTAGAATAATTAAACACACAAAATTTTTTTTAATAAAATATGATAACAGATGGCATCACCAAACTTTTAACTGTTGCCGGAAAAGTTGAGCAACTGGTTGCTAAATTCTTTTTTAATATTTAATTAATTAACTAATTAAATTTAAAGAACTTTTAAATTAATGATATTGAAGAAAACTTGAAATTAGCTGAAAATAACTTTCTCTTGTTCGAAGAATTATTAAATAGTGCAACAATTGGATTATTTTACAAGTTTAATTTTATTTTTCTTAATCTTTTACATTCTCATCACAGTAATGATATTAATCAAAATTATTGTTAAATAGTAAATAGGGGTATTTAATAATTATCTAATAAAAAGCATTGGCAAAACTCAACAGACGTATTTTCATTGTAAGAACAGAAGAACCGCCATTTTTGTACAGTAATAATGTAATATCGAATTTCACTNGTAGAAAAAACCTTAGTTCCTCTTTAAGAATACAATTCTGATAATGACGCCTGACGTTTGTTTTACGCCTGCTTATCAAGAGAAAAATGAAATTACTGATAAAAACGTTTTATTTATATTATAAAATCGACATTATCAAAATCGATAAGAGTTTGTATGGCATTCGAATATCACTGTGAGGTTAACGGTATCGAAATAATATATCATTTTCTGATGTATTGTATCGCAATATTTTTAATCTGCAAAAGAGTATAGTGACTTATCTAAAAATATCTCTGAAAATATCTGAATGATCAGACATATGATACAGATCCATTCGCGGTTTGTGTTTGTTTACTACACTTGTATATACGTATATATAGAGATCTTCGACCCTGACCGACAGTTTTTTGTACCTTTTTCTGTTTATTATTTCTATTGCTATCTAAACTAATTTTGTAAACGATGGTAGGACGTACGTTTCAAGATTTCCTTTTAAAAACGGTAATTCACATAACATAGTAATTTCCTATTAATTAATTATTAAATCCAAATTTAATAAAGAAAACATTGTTTTAAAATACAGTATTTGCAATAATAAGTATTGGTGTTTATTTTATAGATTGCTTAACCCACTTATGCAAGGTTATTAATTACTTTTTGTAAGTTTACGTGCTTTAACTCTTATAAAGAGTTCGTTTTAGACAGGATTTACAATAATTTCGTTTATATTACTTCATTTAAAACTAGTAGTTTCGAAATATTGCACATTTCGTTATCAAATTTAATTTAATTTTTGCTTTTTCGACTCTCTTATATCATTATATGATGGAGAGAAAGTATGGCAATCGTTCAATAAATGACTCCCAAACTCTTTTACACTTTTGGTCTCAAAGAACTTTAAAATGTCAAAAAATGTCTGTATAGATGTTAGTGCGTATATACGCGATTTTGTTCACTCTATTTGAAGCTGAATAACTCCTGTGATTTTTGTCGAAATTTTTTGAAATTTTGAAGGGAGGTTTGTGTATTAGGGAAATTCATGCTGTTACATTTTTGTGGTTAAAAGGTCGATGGGATGACGAGATAAAGGGGATCGTGTTTCATTGTTATCAACATATACGATTTATTTTTTTATAAAACTCATTTCTACCTTAAAAATTAGAATAATTAAACACACAAAATTTTTTTTAATAAAATATGATAACAGATGGCATCACCAAACTTTTAACTGTTGCCGGAAAAGTTGAGCAACTGGTTGCTAAATTCTTTTTTAATATTTAATTAATTAACTAATTAAATTTAAAGAACTTTTAAATTAATGATATTGAAGAAAACTTGAAATTAGCTGAAAATAACTTTCTCTTGTTCGAAGAATTATTAAATAGTGCAACAATTGGATTATTTTACAAGTTTAATTTTATTTTTCTTAATCTTTTACATTCTCATCACAGTAATGATATTAATCAAAATTATTGTTAAATAGTAAATAGGGGTATTTAATAATTATCTAATAAAAAGCATTGGCAAAACTCAACAGACGTATTTTCATTGTAAGAACAGAAGAACCGCCATTTTTGTACAGTAATAATGTAATATCGAATTTCACTACAGAAAACGATTACAGTCGACCCCTTATAACACTGTTGATAATTTTGTTATATATGAATTCCATGTTGTACGAGTCACTTAGATTTTACAAATACGTGTGTACTCTTAAAAATTTCAAGCTACAGGTTTTTCCTGGCTTTATTTCCGTCCATGTTCTAACGCAGTCAGACTTCAGGCTCCAAAATTAACAGAAATGTCGATATTTCAGTAGGCCTTATTTGTCTAACATTTTTAATTTAGCTTATTAAAATTGTTAAATCGATAATTTTGAATTTATGTACGTAATTATCTTTAGTCAGTGCTCCACAATTTTCGAATTATTCTTTCCAGAATTATCAGTTAAAATTTTGTTTGTATGCGATTACTTTCTGGCATTGATGTTATGCAATGTCTGTTGTTATATTTATTTTCATTTAAAAAACAATAACAAAACTGCTTTGTCATTGAGGCGGTACTGCTGCACCATAAACACTCCACCCCTGGATATTCTCCCGGATTATTCAACGTTTAAGCAAATGTGTGACTCAATGTAGTTATTTTTGGATGAAAATGAATACTTTTTATTATAACAAATGATTTTTATTTTTATTTAAGACGAGTCACATTATTTTACTTCTTTCCAAATTAATTTTACCCAAAAACAATACTTATTAATTAATCGACTCTTGTAACAGCATGAAATTTGATACAGTCGACTGTACAAATAACACGGAATATAAATTATACTTATATATTTCTTTACATTTGCTTCACTCCAAACACTTGCAAAAATTCGTAAGGATATGAAATTTGACCATCCGACTCTCGAAAACCATATTTGAGCATTATTGGCTTGGCCTGCTTCAAAAGGCGATGCTTAACTTCTGGTTCCATTTTCTCGAAAATTACTTTAGGTAATACACTAAAAGTTATATCTAGAAAAGTAAAAAAAATTCTAGATTAAGTAAAATAAAAATCAGATGATTGGTAATATGAATTTGTGTTTGTAATCCGAATGGGAATTATGTGAACATTTTCGCTGAACATTCAAATCTAAATAATGACATTGTCTTAAATCAAATATTAGAGCAAGATGTCAAATAGAATAAAGTTAAAGATAATTAAAGTAATACCAAAGCGAATTACTGCCGTATGCTATTGGGCTAACAACGGCTATAATAATAATAAATTACGAAATGATTTGACACTAGAGAAAGGCGTTAGGCGCCATCTCTTAATAAATTTAATACTGTAATTATAAATACGAGATTGCATTAAATTTAATACGAGATGGCAGCATAACTGCCTACCTCTAGTCTAATTAATTTCTAATATTTAATCATAGCCTTTACATAGCCCAAGAATTTTGCATATCATTTGATGTGTTTATTATAAACTATATAGAAATTAAAACACCGGAGTTGATAAATTACCTAACTTCACTGCCTGTAACTGGCGTTCGTCTTCTCCAATACGAAGGACTTTGCAAACATTTTCGAACCTAATGTGGTTCTTCTTCAGGCGCTACGGAATTCCCTATATGGTTCGAAAATGTTTGCAAAGTCCTTCGTATTGGAGAAGACAAACGCCAGTTACAGGCAGTGAAGTTAGGTAATTTGTCAACTCCGGTGTTTTAATTTCTATATAGTTTATAATAAACACATCAAATGATATGCAAAATTCTTGGGCTATGTAAAGGCTATGATTAAATATTAGAAATTAATTAGACTAGAGGTAGGCAGTTATGCTGCCATCTCGTATTAAATTTAATGCAATCTCGTATTTATAATTACAGTATTAAATTTAATACAAGATGGAAGCATAACTTCCTACCTCTAGTCAAATTATTTAATTTCTAATATTTAATTATAGCCTGTACATAGCCCAAGAATTTGGCATATCATTTGGCATGTTTATCTGACATATTATCTGTGGTTTTTTTGTTTCTGCAAATCAAATTTGCATTCCAGGTTAGGTCATTTTGCACTAGAAGAAAAGATGATTCACACTCCTTAACAATGTATATTGTACAATTTTCTTTGAATAAACATTATACATAAAATATTTGAGTATTTTTTTTTGGCATGGAACACATTATCATATTTTACATTAATTTATATGAGAAAAATTGTTTCGCTTAATGATTGTTTTGCATTACAAGTAAGATTCTGGAACAAATTATGCTCATTAAGCGAGGTTCTATTGTAATTATATTTAGATATCCTGCCACAGTTTATATAATTTTGTTCTCAAAAGCAATGCAAAAATTTACATATCTGTTCTTTTAAGTGAGAAAAACTTTTCAGTGGATTTTTTTTAAAATATAGTTTACAGATTTAAGAAATTAACTGAAAGCATAATAAAAGACTTGTTGATGAATTTTTTCATTACTTCAAAATGAATATTGATACATATAGATAAATGATGACTCCTTTAAGCCACTGCAAACTAGTAAGTGTGGTTGTATGTGGAATGTATTGGGTTGTTCGGAAAGTAATTTAGTTTTTTTTTTAATCACCAGACGGATTAGTCGTATTTTTCCTGCCATTTTCATTCTAAACCATATTATCATTATATATTTTGACAGCTAGCATTTTAAGGCTTATTTGTAAAAAATTTTGTGGGATTTTGTGCAATTGTTTATTTTTTGTGTCCAATCAAATATGGAAGATCGAAAGCAACATTTTTGGCATATTTTGCTCTTTTATTACCAGAAAGGTAAGAATGCTGTTCAAGCGAGAAAAAAATTGTGTGACGTGTATGGAGAAGATGTATTGACAGAATGACAATGCCAAAACTGGTTTACGAAATTTCGTTTTGGCAATTTCAATATTGAAGATGCACCACGTTCTGAATGGCCAGTTGAAGCCAATGAAAACAAAATAAAGGTACTGATTGAAGCNGGTCCCCAGTTTTCAGACTAATTAGAGAATTTTTACATGGGTCTAAAAATATGTTTGAATTTCCGCAAAAACGCAAAAAACCGCATCTGCGCGTGTAAATCTTGCACGCCGCTTTCTCTTAACACTTTCTTTGTTAATAAAATAAAAGGACGACTCTTACAAAAAAAAAATTTTTTTATTTCAGTCATTTTTGCATTTTAACTACGGAGGAAGTAGCCTAAAAAGGAAGGTCGTCTCCGTGAGTTTGTGATTTTATGAACTGCTGATGGTGCGAACAACGAAAGAAATGACTGAAACAAAATTTTTTTTTTTTATTAATATTAAATAATCGTTGGCCATGTAAAACTTTTTATTTTTTACTTTCTTTGTTACTGAATACATCCATTGTTAACACTTCCATTATTGATACTTTCATTGTTACACATTTTCGAACTCAACCACTTTCAACCCCCATATCTCCCACACCCTTATAGCTATTGAGACGTAACCACCATAGTGCACGATGGGAGACTTGTGGCTACTACCACACAAACACCATTCATGTGTGATGTGTAGTTTTGGCTGCAGAGTGAAATATAGGGACAAACAAGTCCCTTTTTGTATATATACTAGCTGTTACCCGCAACTTCGCCCGTGAGAATTTTGCAAGCAAACCCCATTTATATTCAGTACAGTAGACCCCCTATAATTACGGTCCCTATAATTACGATTCCTATAAAACTGCTAAAAAATTGCGACGGTATCCGTAAAAAAAGGTAAAAAAAAACTTCTATAATTACGTGAAACGTCATCGGGCAGCCGAACTATTTTTTGCTGTCAAGTGCCACGCTACAGAGAGTTTGCTATCGTCTGTACAGTATTATATATAAATTATATATAAATGAAACTGTTGTTATTGTACTAGTACTGTACATATATACACTGTCGTAACTAGTTTTAATTTTCCGGCTGGATGCAATAACAACAGATTTTGAGTTTTTTAACCAATTACTGAATGAACTTCGTTAATTAATAAAAATATCATAAGCTAATTTTTAATTCATTAAAAGTTCTTTCATCAATTATTTCTGATTATGTTTTAATATGTATATTATAGTCATGTCTACGTATAAAATTCAAATGAAGAAATGCAACGATATAAAGTTGGGAGAACAAGATCGAACTCCGACAGATGATTTGCCTATAAAAGGTAAATATTATGTTGTAAAAATTAAAATTAACACTGTCGTATGTTATTAGATATTCTGCTAATTCGTTTAATATTTCAAAAATATAGATTAAGAAACGAAATTTGGCAAGAGAGCTTACGCAGAATTTGAAATTTGGATGAGATTATGTAAGAGGCATTGATTGTATTAAATTTGGTGGTTAAAGACAGATTAAAGAGGTGGTGGGAAGATAAATGAAGTTAGGTTTCTCATCTCGAGAGGGTCTGACTTAATGAAGATTTTACTTGTTATTAGCATTTTCAATTTTTTTTAATATAAAACTTATTACTACGCAGAAAGTTAAGATTCTGCGATTTTATAATAATTAATAATGTAAAAAATTTTATAATAAAATTTCATAACAAATGGCTCTATACACAATTTTTTTTATTTATTATGATTAATTAATTAATAATATAAAAGTTATTTTAAAATAAAATCTCATAGCAGCTAGAAAGTTACTCAACTGGTTGGTAGTTTTTTATTATTTATTGTTAATATCATGAAAATGTAAATTGAATACATAANCTTTCAAACAGCCGTAGTCCGTAAATTTGACACGTGTCGGGCTGTGATTGGAAGGACTCGTAAGAAATTAAATTCCTAAAGAATGGAACGTATCTATGATCTTATAGGGGGTCGACTGTATTTCAATAACCATAGTACTTGTTATATAACACCTTTTGCTGACAACGATGAGAATTGCCGAAAATCAAACGAACTATATTTAATTTGATCAATTTTCTGGAACGTTTACAATCGTTCTATAACCGAACCAATTCGAATTCGAAAATTTTTAAAATCGAAATAGAAAATCTTCCACTTTCAACCACTTTCAAGCCCATATCTCCTGCACCCTTATAGCTATCGAGACGCAACCACCATAGTGCACGAATGGAGACTTGGGGCTACTACCACATACAAACACCATTCATGTGCGATGTGTAGTTTTGGCTGAAAAGTGAAATATAGGGACACACACGTCCATTTATATATACAGTATAGATATAGATATAGATATAATCGAGACGGGTTGATAATAATAATAATAATAAGCGCAGAGCCCAAACGGTTAGGAGTTGAAAGTTGAAATTTGGTACACAGTTAGAGTACGTCACGAAAACGCACACTAAGAAGGAATTTTCGAAATTCCCCCCGGGGGGAGAAAGACAGGATTAAGGCTTAACACTTCCATCAACAATGGAAGTGTTAAGTAACAATGGAAGTTTTAAGTAACAATGGAAGTGTTACGTAACAATGGAATTGTTAAGAGAAAGCGACGTGCAAAATTTACAGGCGCAGATGAAGTTTTTTCGTTTTTGCGGGAAATCGAACATATTTTTAGAACCATCTAAAAATTCTCCAATTAGTCCGGAAACAAGGGGACCCAATTCTTGTATTCTGTGAAAACGGGTAAGGTTGACTGTAACGTAATAATCTTTATCTTAGTTATCGTTACTTTTGCCCGAGCAACGCCGGGCCCACCTGCTAGTATATAGATATAGGTATAGATTATAGCCGTTATTAACACCATAGCGTACGGCAGTGATTAGCTTTTGTATTTCAATGTATTGGGTTTAGTAGAGTTGTTTGTTGATGATCAAAGTAATTATTATACTTGAAATAAACTCAATTAAAATTCTTAAACGAAGGAAGAATTATTTACTGTGACACCAATGCCTGGTTGCAATTTTTAATCATATTTTTAATGTATTTAATTTAAAATGTGTACTCTCCACTTCAAATTAGTAGTGGCTTGCCTCTGTACGTCATGCTTTTCTTTTAACAACAGAGTCGTGTTTGTCATCTATCTAACTCTTTTCAAGGAAAACGTTTGAAATAATATGACTTTCGATTGTACCAGAAGTTAGACTATAGTTAATCGGAAACTACCATTCCTTGTTCCTAATATATGCGCTCGGTTTTCATCCATCTAACTGCTTAATACATAAATTTTATAAAATTGAAAGAAGGAATAAAGGAAATCATAAAAGGGGTAATTCTCGTTTTTTCTTGTATTCTTTATGAGCATACATATACGTGTGAGAATACGGACGAGGGTCAAGGCCCTGTAATCGTCAGATCCTTTGGACCCGCTCACTTTGTCACTGGATGGCTTATTCTAACAGAATCCGAGCGGTAAGATTCTGTATGGGGTTTACAACGTCTATAAATAGTACACTAAGAAGGTCATTTAATATAAAATCAATAATTTAATCAAAATTAACAAAAATACAGGTAAATAATGAGAACATGGAAAATACATGGATTATCTATAGGCCTACTATTCCTAGCCTATGGTCTCTATTTAACCCGAGAGAGAGTTTACAATCAATTTAAACCAATCCTTTCCTGTCTGGATCATGACTTTATGGACGGCCTGTAGGGGTTAGAGGGGGACTATCCTCTTCTATTCATGGCAGTAGAGTCCCGAACTCCTCGAGTAGTACAACACTCGGCCTTTTTATTACTGAATATTTCCCGAATGACACAACTAAGCAGAGCATTCCGTCAGATGATGCGCTGCTTAGTTGTGTCATTCGGACAGGTGGGGGGAAAATTGAAGATAAGAGGGGGGAAGGAAGCAAAACATCCTTATTTCTCAATAAAGGTTGCGTTATATAGAGCATGTTTCAGGATGTTGAAGTTTTGTAACCTTTTTTGGTTTAAAACTTTAAGCTAAATTTGTTTAAAATTTTTATTAATGTATTTTGATATAAAGTGCAAATTATGCAAATTAGGTGGGTATCCATCCCTATTCTCACATACGAATATATACTGCGAAGCGGTTTTTGTAATTATATTTATAACTAAAAAGCTATGTAATATAATGAATATTAAAAATCATTTTAAAAAATGTAAAATTTTACCTAAAAAGTTCTTTTCGTCAGAAAATGTCACGTCCTTAACTTCCAGTTTACTTTTTGTTACTTTCAAATTAAACTTGGAAAGATAATTATTAAATTCAGTTTCTAAGTCCTTACAGCTCTGGTTTAATGCAAACGAAGCAAGAATCTCGTCGGTCTGTAATTATACACAAATGTTTGTTTATAGCGTATTTAATCCTTTATAGGATTCAATAATAAAATTTAAATACATTAGAGTCAAATTATAAAAGTAAAAATCTAGACCAGAATGATTTAAAATATGCGCATTAATAGAAAACGATATGAAGGATGGAGCATGACATGACACTAATATAAATAGAAAGGGTCGAACAAACTTTGTTGCGTCAGCCGGAAAGTTAGTTCGTCCCTCTTTTCATCAAAACATATCTATATGAACGAGTAATAATTGTTTATTGTGACATGATCACAACGCGAGATGCAATTTTTAATCATCTTTTAATTTGAAAATTTACGTGAACTCCGGTCCAAGTCGTTAGTTCGTACATAGTTAATCGGATGTCCGGTTCCTAAACTTTCCGTATCTAGTCTCTAATTCCAAGTATCTAACTCCGCTCTCGAGATTAACGAAGAACAGAGAGACAGACAAACGACGAAAAGAATGTATATGTCTGTAATTTGAAAGTTGCAGCCAAATAAGCATGGCTATTCCCGGATGGTATCTCACGATACATACAAAATATACTACATCCGTTTAGTCAAATAACAAAAACTCACTCCAAGAAAACGCTACAGGAGAGCACAGAGTGACTCAAACCACTTTCTAGTCGAAGTAGTTGTAAAAATGTAGTTTATACTAATTTTATATAAACGTATATATACCTTTATATACTTCATCCATTCTTGGTGGGTACTTAGCTCCCGTACGATAGAAAACATAGGACATTTTGTAATAAGAACGAAGAAGAAATATCCTCCTGGCTTCATTAATGAGGAAACAGCAGAAAACAACGTCTTAAAATCATTTACAAAATGCAAGGCGTAGAAAGACAAGACTTTGTCATATTTTCCAATTTCTTTTAAATCGATCCTGAAAATGGTAAAGTTCGAATTATATTTTACATCTTCAATTAAATCTATTTTTAAAATAGATCGAGTCCTCGTTTAGCTCTTTAAGGATAGATACAAGTACCGTACATTTGCACGCATTGACAAATGCACTTGTTTCTTTATTTGTATAGTTGTTTCTGTTTATTATTATTGTCGAATTTTCTTTATAAATAGTAAAATTGATTGTACGAAGTGAAAATTTGATGCTAGAAGAAGCAAACACTATCCAATATGAATAATATTTAGCGCATTGTAGCTTGTTTATATGGTTTAGCCTATAGTAAAATTGGTGTCGTCATACATGGTTTCGTTTACGTCATAATTTCCAAGAACCTATCGAAGGCGTTAAGTGATAAGCAATATTTCACCACTGGCGATTTTTTGAAGAACCGAAATACATATAATGTTTTTTTTTCTATAAAAGTTCCGTTTTATAATCTTTCAGGAATTGTGTATCGTTTGCCAAAGTAAATACTGTATTATATTTCATACCCGGTTCTTATTAGGATCTTATTGCATGAATAGGAAGTTTTCTCCCGAGACCGGTGGGTCTGAATTAAACCATGAAATTTGAATATAATAGACTAATTTGTAATGATTAACGGGCGAAAGGAAACGTCAGTGAAAGCTGACCAGACTGTTATTTCAGCAAAATGTATGCAATTCTAAACGTAGTGTACCATTGCCATATTCATTTTTGTTAAGTGGTCAGTGATCCCTAGAACTACATTCGAAGTGAAATAGTTTGTGATTAATTATTATACAGGTTGTATCAGAATGACATTTTAAAAATTTGTTGGACTGTAGAGGATGAAATTTTGAACGTTTTGATATATGGAACCTATAGCCGGAAATTTGAACTAAAGTGTCTACAGCGGGAGGAAATGCTTGTTTGCTCTTCACTTTGGTAGCTATCCTTCGTACATTGACGTCATATTATTGCTGCGGATAAAAGACTATAAACACACAACTACAGTGGTCTAACTGAGCCTGTGTACAGGACGTTGTGTACTTAGTGCTTGTCGTCCTTCAGGTTACCCCTTGCATCCACTGGCGCTGTGCTGTAAACACACAGCTAGTCAACGTGAGTCAGTGTACAGTTGTCTGCTTATCGTACTGTGGATACGTTCTGGCGTCATGGATAATCCGTCAAATTGTGGACACAATGCCAGAGACAGTATTTGCAAAGTATATAATAAAATTAAGAACAACATTATACAAAGAACTGATTATGGAACGTCGTACTAATAAATGCATTCGTTTTCTGCAATACAACGTCGGAAGAAGAATTGCTTCAACATTTATACTTGTCTCTGTAATAAATAATTTCGATTTTATCCTTTTACAAGAACCGTACTGTATTAAATCAAAACCAGCAAACCTACCCAAAACCTGCACATCTTTAACAGGTACTTATGAATATCCCTGGGCTGTCTCTATTGTCCCACACAACGATCTCTCATTTCTACATCACAGCAACATAAGCAATAAATACACCACCTGTACGGAAATTGTTATTAATGGGCATAGGTACCTGTTTATAAACTTTTATTGTCCCAAAGATTATAACATAGAAAACTTCCTTACAAACATGCAGAGTATAATTGATACTTTTAATAACACATATTTTATAGTTGCTGGTGACACCAATTCACACTCTCCTTGCTGGGGAGGAGAAAGATTGGACGACCGTGGCAAACATTGGGAAGAATTTTTTGCTAGGAATGGGCTGCAGATTGTGAATAACCCAACATCTCCTCCAACTTTTGTATCCAGCAGAGGGGAAAGTTGGGTGGATGTAACTGCTTGTTCGCTGGAATGTTTCAGTTCGATAAAGGGTTGGAGCATTATGGATGAATCCATTGATGATCATGCAATGATCTCTTTTTACATATCCAATGATGATGAGAACAATTATAAACACCCCAGACTTAAATACAATTTAAAAAAGGCAAATTGGGAAGGTCTACAGACATATTTGCAAACATACCTACCTATATGTGATAGGGATGATCCAATAACGGCAGCTCATGCGATTGATAGCTCCATCGATATTATAAATAATGCCTGCAAAAAGTATATACCTACGTATACCAACAACAAAAAAAAAACGGTACCGTGGTGGAACGAAGAGTTGAGAGAACTCCGAGCAAAAAATACTAGGTTGAGGAAAACCTTCCAGGGTTGCCACTGTGAACCTAATCGATCTGAACATAAGAAAAATTACCTTAATCATCTAAGAGCATACAAAAACGCCATCAAATTGGCAAAATTACAATCTTGGAAAGAATTTTGCGAACAAGCAGGACGCAACCCATGGGGATTTATTACCCGTCTATGCACCAATAAATTGAGAACTACACAAATTCTTCATGCTACTAATATCGGGCAGAACTTTGTAGAAGCTGCTAACAAAAGAATGGACTCCTTTTGCCTTCCAGATTCTGAGAGCTCGGAAACGGAACACCATCACAGAATACGGGAGAATATTACTGAGGATATAAACACCGATAACACTCCGGAATTCCAAATTGAAGAGATAGCCTGGACTGTGGCAAAATTAAATAATAAAAAGGCTGCTGGACATGATAATATTTCGCCTCTCCTGGTAAAACAGTTATGGACCATCATCCCCGAAAAACTAACTAATATTTTCAATGGATGTTTAAAATACGGCATTTTCCCTAATTCCTGGAAACATGCAAAGATAGTACCTGTACCAAAACCCGGTAAAGAGGACGAATGCCGACCAATCTCTCTTCTTCCCATTCTGGGTAAAGTATTTGAAAGGCTCCTCACAAACAGACTAATGTGGCACCTAGAATCCAACCATCATCTGCATAACAACCAATATGGGTTTCGTCCCCAAAGATCTGCGAACGAGGCAATTGAAAGAGTTATCAACAGCATCAATACATTACTATCAAACTTCAGATTTGTTTTAGCCATCAGCTTAGATATCGCTAAAGCTTTTGATAGTGCATGGTGGCCTTCAATAATATATAATTTGAGAAAAAAGCAATGTCCCAAAAATATATACAGAGTATTTCTCAATTACTTAAATAACAGAACAGCAGAATTATGTTGTGGTGCTCATATAGTAAGACGGAATGTAGTCAGGGGTTGTCCTCAGGGCTCAGTTTGCGGTCCTATCTTATGGAATGTAGTCTTTGATAGTTTCTTAAAGCAATCCTTTGGACATGATTCAATAGCATTTGCTGATGATGCTATAGTGCTGATAGGTGGAAACACAAGAGCTGCTCTTGAGGAAGTAGGAAATGACACCTTGAACAGTATCAGCAAATGGGGGGAAGACTATAAACTAACTTTTAACACCAATAAAACAATTGGTATTGTTTTTAACAAACCTGGAAACCCAAACTTGTATTTACGAACACCTACAATAAAGATGAGCGGCAAAAAAATCAAGATCGTTAAAAATATTAAATACTTAGGGATAATATTGGACTTTCGATTATTATGGAACTCACATATTACGTATATCTGTGATCGAACAGGAAATATATTTAATAATTTTGCTAGAATTGCAAAGAAACAATGGGGGCTAGCATACGAGGCACTACTCATAATATATAAACAGATATTTATACCAATAGTAACGTATGCATGTGGTAGTTGGTACCATGACATTTACAAAGTGCATATTAAAAGAAAATTGATATCCGCTCAAAGAAGAGCCCTTATTCAAATCACAAGGGCATATAGCACAACCCCCAACGTCTCTATACAAGTGTTAGCCAGATGCCCACCTATTGATAAAACAATAGAATATACTGCCAAAATCTGGCACATAAAATGGGGGAATAATATACAAACAAACGACCTTACCATTAGAGCGGAAGACTTCGAAAGACCAACACCTATTGACCTGACTAAACACCCAGCAATAATCAATAATATAACATTTAACTCAAGTCATGAGACAAATGTGAATATATATACGGACGGATCAAAAACCGGGAAAAGCGTGGGTTGTAGTTTCGTGGTTTATTGTAACAACGAAACAATAGCAATAAAACAGTACAAGCTTGGCGAATTTTGCTCTAATTTCCAAGCAGAACTATTCGCTATACAGATGGCTGTCTCCTGGTCAAACCAAATGTACACGAATGAAGTAATAAAAATTACTACAGACTGTGCCTCTGCTATCGATCTATTAAACTCCAGGAATTACCATCCAATAGCAAACAACATACATAATATTATAAATACTTCTAGCTGTCGATACACTCTAAACTGGATTAGAGGTCACCAGGGGCACATAGGAAATGAAAAGGCTGATGAGATGGCAAAAAAAGCTTCTCATAACGAAGAATTGGATGTGGCTTATAATAAAATCAGTATAAGAACAATAAAATCTATATTATGGAATGATTTAATTATAAATTGGCAAAGTGATTGGAATAATTGTAACACTACTACTCAAGAATATATCAAAGACATTAATAAATTCCTTAAAAACAAATGGTACAAACCCACTAGCCATCTGACACAAATACTCACAAACCACGGTCGTTTTTTTTCGTATCTGTCCAGATTTAAAGGTGCAATAAATCCAAATTGCACTACCTGTGACATTATTGATGGGAGTAGTCATTACATATATGATTGTCCAATGTTAGAAGTAGAAAGATCAACATTAAAAACTCTATTATATTCCCACAAAATAAACTGGCCACCACCTACATTGGATATTGTATTTGATCATAAGGATACCCTTGATGCATTCTTACAACTTGTTGAAATGTACCATCTAAGAACCAACGTACCAGCCTATAGCGGTCACTGAAGCTATTATCTATGTCAATCATTAGGTATCATAACCAATATATAGGTCATTCTAAAAACACACTGGATAATATTTAAACGTTATTGCGGAACGATTAAACTGCTAGCTCAACTCAATTATCGTCTCTGTAGCACTTTGTAATCCAATTATTTCAGTAATCAAAGCTATGCAGAATATTAAACAGAAGTAACTGGATCAACTCTAGTGTTATTCAACCTGAGTTACAACTGATTTTGTTTTGTATAGAGTAACTATGGTTCAGTTAGAACTGTGTCTTTCATTGGATTCAAGAAGAGTCCACATTATTATACACTATAACAGTAGCGTACTTATAGGTATTTGCTACAGGATTACCATATTAATGACTGTAACGTTCTTGTAAGGAGTGGACTTTTCGTCATATCTTCAACTTTAGGTCACTCTGGCTGGATTGATCTCCGAACTAGTAACACTTAACTGATTTTTCAGTAAAATTTGTGAGCGTCCTCTTGTGGTGTTCCTTTCAACATTATATTATAAGTAATGCACTATTAAGTGAGACATTTACATACTGAGAGCACTTTGGAACATGCTCAACTACCAAACTTTGGATCTTATGAGCTATTGTCTTCAATTAAGCCACATATGGCTTAAACTGTGAACTCAAGAACTTACGAGATGATAAGTGACTCACAACGCTAAGATTTCACTTTTATGATGAGTAGTGTATCTATGGATGTGAGGACCCTTGTCTTACGGCAGCTAACTGGAAGCATAACTGGAATGTTATTCAGGAGAACATGTAGATGATGTCATCATGAGAATTACCATAGTGATGTGTAAATTGTATATAACATACACAACGTATAATTATAGATTGTATGTATAACGTGAGTAATTGACAAACATTGTAGGAAGATTCGATGTATGTTAATTAATGCAAGTTATTAATAATAATGATAAATGGATATGACTAACTTATATACATAGCTATGTATGAAAACTTGAGATGTAGTTAATTTTTATGTATCACATAATTCTGATTGTATAATATTGTTCTCATGTAATTGATACTTTATCATCTATAGTAATCTATGTAACATACGTGACATAATGTAGTTAATTTTTATGTATTTCATAATTCTGATTGTATAATATTGAGTTCATGTAATTGATATCTATCTCACTGGTATTAATTTATGTAACATATGTGATGTATTTGTGATATGCACTTGCATAGTCGAACTGTAAATTTATTATTCTTAATAATTGATCGTGTTAATTAATTGTTAAGTGTTAATTAATATGATTACAAATGATACTGTGTATCAATTGAGTGTGAGAGTATTGCCTTCGATGGCACATCATAAGTGTTGTCCTGCAATACAAGATGCTTCTGCAATAAGTTACTGCACGCGCGTGCAATTAACTATATACTATTGTACGCGTTTATTATTTAAAAATGTATATATATTATATCATATATTATGTATTTAATTTTACTCATATTTTATGTAATCAAGGTTATACTCATATATTATATAATTAATATTATATACTTGTATTCACCCGGTTATGCACAAGCGGCACCGGGATATGTCTTGTGACATACAAAATAAATATCTGAATCTGAATCTGAATCTGGCGTCATGGAGGGTAACTACACATTTGGAGAACTTGCTGATATGCAAGTTGTTTCATTCAGCATACCGACCGCATAGAACGCTCAAAGTGCTGTAGAAACTTTATATCACATTTTCGGCTATAGGTTCCTTATATCAAAACGTTCAAAATTTCATCCTCTATAATCCCACAAATTTTTAAAACGTCATCCTGATAAACCCTATATATTATCGATTATATTATAAGTTTATTAGAAGAACGTATTCTCTTTCGGTATATATACAGTGTTTATGTTTGTGACTTTATTTAGGCTATATATATTATCTTATCATTTTCCCTACTTCAGGGTTACTTATTTATTAAGAGTTACTTTTAATATCTTATTTTCTTTTGTGAAATAACGTTAATTTCATAAAGTTTAGAATCACTGGCATATGGCCAATGTTAGAAAAATCAACGTGATTTAAATTTAAATTCTTTTTACTTATTATATTATTTACACGATTTCATTTGGATATAAGTATACAAAGAAATTTTACTTACCTTTGAATGATATCTTGAGTCTTATATTCTATTTTCTGGTCGAAATATGTTTTTCTGGCATACTCGATGTAATTCGGTACGATGTCGATAGCTACGATTTTCTTCACTTTTGGGCATTTTGGTAAAAGAATATTTTTGGTGGTTTTTCCTGGACCGCATCCGATGTCCAAAACAATATCCTCGTCGGACCATTCCATGGTTGGAAAAAGTAAATCCAGAGACGAACTAACGTAGCGATCGAGAAATTTCGGGTACGAGTTTTCGTAATCTTCGGCTGTTCCGTCCATATTTTTTTAGATGAAAAATGAAAATTCTGTAACAAATAAATCAGAAAGTGATTTAAGAAGCGGAACACTTTAACCTGCCATTAAAAAATTATTTATCACGTATTCTTGTAATTTATGATAAATAAATTATATAAAATAAAAGAGAAGGGATATTCTCATAATATTAAATGAAACAAATTTTAACTCGTGCAACTTTACTCGTGTAAATATTTAAAAAAATAGTTATTATTGAACTTAGAATAAATTAATATTCAACTTTAAAGCATTAATTAGAATAAATTACTTTAAAATAATAATTAAACAACATAATTTTTTAACTGTTATAAAATATTAATTTATGAAACATTCCAATGCAAGTGAAAATCGATACCTAAATGTTACATACGATCCAAACATTCTCTTTATTAATTATTTACATTTTTAATTCAATAATATGTAAACATAAAAAATACACATATAAATTTATTTAAAATATAAAATTTAACAAGTTAAAATTTTCTTTGATAGTAGAAAAATATAAGATTTTGTGAGATACAATTTAAAATCACAAACCGTCATTTAGAAATGTTTATACTACTGAAGTCGGATAATAAGATTTAATGCTTACCTCGAAAATTAAAATATTTCAGCTGCTTTAAGACCCGATTGCAATGTTTTCAACTTCTCAATCCCATCAGCTCTACACGCTCTTATATTTATATGCAGAATTGTATAAACAAAAATATATACAAAACTGATAAAAATATTTATAACCCTGGAAGACAGTCGTCTCCTCGGGCTTATCTATATGCTTTTATTTTTTGTAAACAATGTCACAATGTATATTATCATTTTGTTTAGTTTTAAAAATATTTTGACGTGCAATTATGTATATTTATATCAATACATTGTTTATATCTAAACGATGTGCTATAAATAACCTCGGTTACGTTGTGAATACAATTGGAGGAAGTCAGAACCGCAAGAAAATGAACGTTGTATGTTCGGGAGAGATTTATGTCCATGCCTCATTCCACGTCTTAAATCGGGTGACCGTAATTAGTGACCTATTCAATGTTGGGTCGGGAGATAAAATCTAGCAGTCGAAATCCATGAAATTAGGTGTCGAGACACTTCAAGAAACGTTTCCGTAGAAGATTATTAAAAGTGCTTTTTCAGTTTGTGTAGTAAAACGTTGGTATGCAATTTACGACACGTAAAACATAAACATTTTAACTTTTATTGTACAATTAAACTTATACTTTGAATGTATAACGAATGGATTCGATTTAAATTCTTGGAATTGGCTAAAATAATTTATGGATTTCGGGATAAGACAATTCGACACACAAGCGATCCATCAAGATGCAACCGAAAAAAATTTTTTATGAGAAACTGGCCCCTTTTTGTGTGTTAGAAATGTGAAGTAATCCCGAAAAACTTCATGCATGGTCGCAAACCCCGTACTAGAGTTTAGTAGTGTTATTCCATTGGCCCTGGTAGGGATAAAAGAAAGAAAAAAAGAGTCCTTCTTTTGGATACTGTAATTATGGTTACTGTAAAATGTCATTATTAAATTTCTCGTAATTATATAAGTTGTTTTCTTTCGTAGTTGATAAAGATAACATCTAAAACTTGTTTACAGTTTGTATTTTGACATTGAAATCTGTATATATAGACTATGTACATTAAAAATATTATTTAGACTATGAGAAACATTTATATCAAAGTATTTGTAAATTCTGATTAACTTGAAGTTCGACTGAGAAAAACTTGTTTATAAAATAAGATTTATAAAGTTAAAAACATGTTGAAGATTGCAATCATGAAATTTGTTGTATTTGTAACTTATAATTATTGTCTTAAATGTACATGATGTTGTATATGTTATGGACAAAGTGATTAATCGGGTATTATTCATAATGACCAAATAGGGCGGACAGTGTGATAAATATTGACTAATTTATCACATTGACCGGTTATTATGAATACTGCTATTACCTAGTCGGGCAAAGTGATAATAATAAGTTGAAGAGTGATCATCCGACATACGCTATCCAATCGGCACCCTGAGTTGCGTGTTCGTATCATACAACATTTAGTACAAAATTTTAAATTTGATTAAAAAAACTTGCTTATTTCATTTAGATATGTTTATTTTTTGTAATTATATCAAAGTACTATTAACTATATTAATTAAACTAATATTAACGAAAAGTATTATTAACAATTTTTGGTATAAATTATATAAAAAATGATTTTAGTTTATTTATTTGAGCAATTAAGATTTTCATGACATTTGGAATTACATAATTTTTTTCTTTGGTAGCATTTGCATCTATTAGATTTTCAACCAATTTTTCAGCAGCATCAACTACAGTTGTGGCCTTCAGAAATTGATGATATTCTTGCAGATTCTCTAAGCGAAATTTCTGCACCCGGTACATCTCCAACAGAAATGAAGTTTCCTTTACGAACAGTAAATTGGTTTCTGGAATATAATAGATTTAATATGCCATATCTGTACCCAGTTTGTAAAGTTTTTTTTTATCTTTAACCGCAACAACGACACCTAAAATATTTTTTTCATCACTGCGGGCTCGATCTACATCAGGTACACGAATCCTTACTGTATCACTAATATTAGCTGCTGTATATTTGGAATTTGATGTATTAATCATTTTTTTCTCTTGCTTTTTAAGATTAAACAAAGCTCTTGTTTTAGACACATTTATTTTTTCTTATATTTTTGGATCAATTGTTTGGATTGTTTCTTCTTTATTCACCAATTCTGTAATACGAATAACATCCTGGTTTAGATTTTTTTCACGTGAAGACGATGTAGATCTTTGAACTTCATTAGTTATATTGCTATGTAAGGGTGGCATTATCAGATAATATTTCATAATGTTTTCTTGGCTGGTACCCGGACTTTCAGAGTTTGAGCAACTTTGACTTACTTCGTCGATAGTTTTAAAAAGTCTCTGTAGATCCTCTTCCGTATTAACGTTGATCAACGATTCGTTGGTTATAAAATTCTTTAGTTCAACTTTTAACTTTGCTCCAAACATGGCCTCATAGGGGCTGCAGTTTATACCAGTATGACGCGCTCGATTTTTTATCAGTTGTACAAAACGTAATCCTTCCGACCATTTGTTAGTATTGTTAGTCTCCAACCAAGAACTAAGCATATTTTCTACGTTTTGGTTACAACTTTCTACTGAACCCTGACATTATGAGTGCCTGGACTTTCCATGCACCATTTTTAACTCGGAGCACATATTACACATTTCTTTGATGATATTATTGGCGAATTCTCTGCCGTTATCGCTTTGTAGAATACTCGGTGCACCGAAAATTGTAAAAATGTCTAAAAGAACATATGCTACTTCTTCAGCCCTTTTGGTTTTTATTGGTAGTAGTTGAACGAATTTAATTACATGGTTTGATACACGGAGTATAAATTTATATTCCTCATCGGCTTGCGACTGCATATCTGTAAGATCGACCTGACATCTCGAGTTCTAACTTGACTTAACTACCAAGTCTTTCTTAGGAACATTCTTTTTTTCTGACAGATTTCACACAAGTTCAAATAAATTATGATCATCTCCCTTGTAATATTTTTATATTTCGTACTTAATTCTTATTCCATACGGTTTCTACCGCCATGTCTAATAACAATATGGGCATCGTACAATATCTGAAATATTTCTTCCGTGTGAACGTAATATTTAATCGCATTACCTTCTTTTACAGGCATAATTAATTAATTTTTCTAAATTTCCAATAGATACAACGTCATATCTACGTAAACGCTGATATTCTTCAGAAAACATAGAAGTAACTTTTATTTTTCACTCTTTCACTTTTTGTATCATTGACAAATATGCTGATTTTTGTAAAAATTTGATCATTCTCACCTTTTTCTGCTATTAACTCGTTTAATCGGTTGTTGAAGCGATTATTCATATCACTTAATGATTCCTCCATGATCGTTACTTTTGTCAAAGAAGAAAGATTATCTACTGGCAGAGTCGGTAGATTAACTGGTCTTTCGACTAATAGTTCAAACTTAGCTAGAGACAATATTTGCCGCTAGTCGGCGCCACTGTTAGCAGGAGATCGTTGTTCTTGCTAGGTATATACTGAAGTCAGTGATTTTGACCTATAATAATTGTTTTTTTAGCTCCATAAAAATGCCAACGTGCTTTGTGCCAGGATGCAAGGCAGGATATAAGTCATCGAACGAGAAGAGACATTTCTTCCGTGCTCCTAGCGATAAGATTGAGGAGTGGATGCGATGCATTCCACGAGACGACAGGATGCTAACAAATAAATGTTACGTTTGTGACGTACATTTTGCGAGTAGATTTATTTTAAAAACCTTCTCTCATGTTATAAATGGAGAGAAAGTAGAAATTCCACGAGATCGCTGGG